ATTCTTCAATAATTTTGTTGTGCACCCATATTTAGCCTGTTTTGGCTTTGGCCTAGGGAGTCTGTGACTCAGTTTTGTTTGCATTTTTTTGGGTAGATACGATTAATTTTATAAAATGCAGTTAGTTGTTAGTGAAATTTTGATATAAAATGCCGCTAGTTGTTGGTGAAATTTTTAGTTTATATTAAATAATATTTATAATAAAATAAAAATAATTAATTAATATTATTTAATTATATTTATAATATTAGTAGATTGAGTTAAAAGTGAATCAAATTCGAATTAAAAAGAAAAATAATTGGTTAAAAAGGATGAGATTATTTTCCAAAAATATTATACCCAAGCATAGGGTGAGCAAAATCGAGTCGAAACTGAAAAATCGTACCGAATCGAGCTATTCGGTGCAGTTCGGTGCGATTTTTTGTAAGTACGGTTATCGGTGCGGTTTGAGTTATGAAAAACCGCAAGTATTTAGCTAGGCCCTTATTTTTTATATAAAAAAATTGTCAGCTTATTGAAGCAAATTCGTGTATTTATTATTATTATTATTATTATTATTATTATTACTAAAGTGAGAGGTATAAAAGCAAATTTATGGAATAATAAGAACAAACCCCATTTTCAACATCGGGCCCCTTTTTTAAGGGGATAAAAGGGACACCTCTCACTTTCTTCTTCGCTCTCACTATTTTCTCTTGCTCTCTTTCTCTCTCTAATATATATATATACACACACACACACACAAACGCCATAGCTGCTACCTTTGAAAACACCTTAAGCGGTGAATGTAATCGTGGGTTTTTAAACCAATTTATTGAGTTCACTCAGCGATCCGAGCTCCGGCCTAGTCACCCCACGAGTTGCACCACCATGGCGAACAATCCCGGCGAGACCCCGTCCGACGATTTCCTCGAGCAGATTTTAGGGTTTCCCGGCTACGTCCCCGGCACCGAGGCCGCTATGGCGGCGAGCGAGGCGGCGCAGAACGCGATGATGCTGCAGCTCGGCTCCGGCGACGGCTCGTCTCACCTCGGCGCCCTGGGCGGCGGGCTCGGAGTCGGAATCGGCGGCGGATACGGCGTCGGGGGTGGAGGCGGGGGGTTCCCCCTTGGTTTGAGCTTGGAGCAAGGGAAGGCGGGTTTCGG